TCTGACGATCATCGGCCAACCAATATTTTTTATTAAATCTTTTTACATAAAATTAATTTGTATACATCTTTCAGAAAACACAAAAGATGAATTAATTAATAAATCCGAATTTAAATTCCCCAAAAAATCAAAAGGAATCCTTTAAATTCTTAATTAATCCGATTTGAATCTTATATAAACATGAACAAATATGCACGTAAATTTCTTTATTGGAATTTAAATCACCATGAAAATTAACTGATTATTAAATTTAAGAACAACTTAAAGATTTCCTTTTGAGATCAAAATTAATTGATTCTACAATAATTCAACAAGTAAGCTCTGATACCAATTGCTAGATCTTAAATTCTGATTGTGAAAACTATAACATATAACACAATATAAATGTTGAATTAAAGAGAATCGAAATACTAAATTGCGCGGAAGCGTACCTGAATCCGAAGCCATGAATAATCTCTCGATTTGTGCGGTATAGCCTTCCATATCTGCACGTTCCTTCAAAAGAGTTCCCTTCAATTTCTGTATCTCTCTCTATTCTCTCTTTGATGATGAGATATCAAAAGATAGGGATGAATTGAAGGTGTGATCTGGGGACCATAACCGCTATTTATAGAGATAACTCAAAACAGTTATCCAATTGGTATTTTCTATTTTAACCCATCATTAAAATAGAAATTACCCCGGTATCTACACATTAAAGGCCCACATCCTTATCTGATACATTTTAAAACTCATATCTGTCTAGATTACTTTAAATTGAGTTTATCTTTATTTAACAGTTTACAATGGATAATAATTTTACATATTAGCCCAATGTTAGATTAAGGATCCAACATAATAGAGAGAGAGAGAGAGAGAGAGAGAGAGAGAGAGAGAGAGAGAGAGAGAGAGAGAGAGAGAGAGAGAGGGTTATTGTTGGCTCCATGTTGAACAGCTTGGAGGAGACTAACGTTGGATGCAAAATTGTTCACAGTTTGGTTGGAGGAGCTAGTGGATGTGATAGGAAAAAAAGAGGACAATAGAATAAGGATGTACTGTTAGTCGTGGAGCTCTAATACCTTATGAAACTCACACGTTTTGGCTTACTAGTTGGATTGCACGTGCAATGCACATGGTAAATTTTTAAATTTATTATTGATTCATTTCATTATGATTTATTTAATTTAATCCATGTTTCAAACATACAGATAGAATTTAAAAATTAAAAAAGATTGAATAATGAAATTACATTATGTATGAACTTGATGATAATAGATTGTTTGCATACTTACCAATAGAAAACAATGAATAATTTTATAAAAGAATTTTATTTGATATACATTATTGATTTTCAATCAACCAATGCTACCTATATATAGTTGACATCAGACAACCTATTTAATCATAATCATCCAATATAAATAAATGTTACTAAAATAGTAGCATCAAATTTTTTAAAAAATTGCTAACAAATGATCATTTTCTGAAATTGCTTCAGTCAAAAAATCGACATAATTGAAGGAGGAAAACAAACATGAACTCTTAATAATCCTGAAAGTAGAAACCCTTGTAGGTTTTAAACAAATGTCTGTAGAAGTATTATAGTAGGTTTTAGACGATGAACATAACCAAACAAGAAATGCAAATAAGTTCATTGTTATCACGTTTCATAAAATAAGGCGTTTTGAGATGAGCACCCCGTTGAAAGCAAACACATTTAATCAATAAATCATAAAACATTGGCAATTTATTTTTTCAGAGGAATACATTCACAACTATACCAAGAGCACTCCCTGCCAACAAGAAGACAATCTTAGGGATTAAAGAACGCCAATACAACCACTCATGCAGAGCCACCATCTAACAGCTATGCATTCTTCAAATAATACAGAAAAAAAATACTTACTATTCCTACTTTCATCACATTTCATGCCATCTTTGCCTTTGAAAGATCCTTCTTTCGCTGCCCTAGCATGTAAGTATACATGTGTGGGCTCCCTATGACAAGATGTGTTCCAGCAAAAGCCAATCAGAGTACTCCCATGGATGAAGCTTAACACTTACTTCAGAAATCAACGTACGTTTAATTTACACAATCAAATGAATAAAGCCAAGTTAACATTTCCTCCAAAACAAGAAATTTTTTGAACATAAAGCTCTCAAAATATGTCCATAAACAAACCTGAAGGCAAACAGATAGCAAATTTGCTTTCCAAAGTCATCACCATTGTTCTGCTTCGAAATCTTACTCTTTTCAAGCTTATTAACAGAATCCTTCGACATGCCTCCAGTGCCGCCGGTCTCAAAAATATCAAGAACCTCAATGAAGGGAGCATCACCAGCACTCATCTACAATGAACAATATATATCCCCAGAAAAAACACGAGTCTTATAATATGATGCATGTTTCATTACCCAGTAAATGTTAAAATATACTTGACTCTGCACTGCGCTCTGAACCGCAGGGCCAACCTTCTCTCTGACAAGCCTTCCACTCAAAAGGTTAGCGAGGATGTCAATTTGCAAGCAATCAATTGCATAAAATGAATACAAATATCATAAAATGTATTCTTTGGAAAAATGAATTGGGTTTATGTTTGAAATTACCACATAGAGAATGCTCCATATACCAGAATAGTTCGAATTCCAAAGGGAAAGAACGACTTCAATAGAGAAAACAGCACCAGAGATCGCCCCGATTCCGGCCCCTCGAAAAAGCCCACTCTCAGTAGCCAATCCAATTACCCCACCAGTAATCGCTCCTACAACTGAACACACTGTTCAAAAACAACAAAGATCAAATTTTGATTAGAAAAACTAAATTAAGACACAAATTAATTGGGACCCAACTCAAAAATTGAGACAAATCACAAACATGTAGCAAAGACACAGGTGACAATAGTGCATATGATGTTTTCAGCACCCATTGACTCATAAAAATCACATTTAAGTCATCCAGACAACAAAATTGGTAACTGTCCTTACCTTAATTAACCACCTCAGCCACTTCTCTCAGAAATCCAGCTTCTTTGTAACTTCTTCTGTGAAATGATGATTCGTGCAAGTGATTGATCAGAAAATTAGGTGATCATTTATGATGAACTGACACGAAGGAGGCACATACACATCAGAGACCTGATATATGGATATGGAAATCAGTGTAAAACTTGCGCACTATATGGATATGGAAATCAGTGAAAAACTTGCGCACTAATATGGCGAATTATTTGGTTTGGTAAATACTGGGCGTCGCAAAACATATTTCTAGATATCTTGAGTTTTGTTTATGTTTGGATTGTATCTGCTAATATATCTAGGTATTAGGGTCCTTCACGCTGTTTTTCTTAATGAAAATAATTGGAGCAGAAGCTCCATATTTATCTCCATAGAATAAGTTACATGTCAATTCAATATTAATATCAACAGAAATGCCTCCACCAGTCTTTTTATTGAGAGAGAGGGTGTGTGTGTGTATACACACATACACACACACATATGGACAGTGCCTTTGCATTTAGCAGAACAAATACAAACAAAAAGGTCCAACCTTGAAAAGAGATCCGATTTGATCTAGAAGGCAATTTGATCTAGAAGGCAATTCTCCCTCTGACCAGTACCTAAAAGAACTAAACCTACAGTATGAATGCCAAGACATTTAAAGTGCAAAAAAAGCTCAAAACATCCTCTCAAATATGAAACACCATGCTATCTAATTAACCATACTTTATTAATTCTTCAGAATTTATAATGGTGGACCCACTAATAACTCTCGGCAGTGACTGCATATGGCAGAAAAGGGAAAGAACACAAAGGAAGAACAAACGAATATCGCCTGGAAACATCCATTTATTTCATGAATACAAGAATATACAATATATAAAAGTAGAAAAGACTGGAAAAAGATTCAAAAACAGGAAATCCCAAGATTCAGTTTCAGTAGCTCATTCAAATTTTAATAAATTAAATGATGACTGTCTATTAAAAAACTATGGCACCAACCTACCATTCACCTCCCCCTACCCCCCCTACCCGGCACCCCTTTCAAACAAAGTCAAAAAGAAATGGGAAAAAACTCACTTGCTGCTTCTAGATATCATACAAGCAACCAACCAGCAAAAATGGAAAATAAATAAATAAAAAACAAATTCAAACTACAATTATATTTGTGTGGGTGTGCAAGTGCATATTGTGGTCATGCATGGTGTGTGGTCAAAGATTTTGAAACTTTTATGGATTAACCTCCAACTAACGCATCAAATCTTTAATTCCAGTAACACAACCAAATTCAACAAATCAACAACTTTAATTGCCAACAATCAACTAATGAAATAAAGACCCTAATCAACTATTTGTCCTAAACAAGCCTCGTTTTCTATGCATAAACATCTCATCTCCAAGAAATAATTCAAATTAATATTTAATATAAAAAACACGAGAAAATATATGGAGTGCTTAAGAGGAAATTACGTGGATCTTGAGTTTGGAATACCTCGTTAGATATCAAGGATAGGTTTCATGAAGGAGTACTAAGTTAGTTGCATTTACATGTCTTGGTAGCCTTTCTTGAGCGGCTTAAGGTAGATTTTAGAAAGAGATATGGAGGTGGTAAGGCTGACACGGTAACTGCCAAAATTATCTATAAATAATTTGGGTGTGTTTTCTTCTCTTTTATTTGTTTAGGAGGTCCTTTTCAATTTCTGTGTATCATCGGGGATTCTCATGATATCATGTTTTCTATTATTTGCAGATCAATTATAAAGGAACATATGCAATATATTCTTGAGCATGCCGACAAGATACAAAAGGTTTTAAAAGTTAAGGCTCAAGTTTCAGAAATCAAAAGCATCATGTTGTAAAACATTGAGAAGGTTTGTACTTTGTTTCACCGTCCGCTTCATCAATACCTACCATAGATTGTATATGATTAATTGTAGTGTTAATATTCTTAAATTTTGTCTGCTTGTTATGTATTTTCCCCTTTTTTACACTATTCCATGTATATTAAAAAAACATTGCAGGAGTGCTAAGTATGTCGTATAAAAACCGAATATATTCTACTATACAAACAATTTAAAGTTTGAAAGTTTCCTGGGAGGTAAAAGATGTAGATAATCTTGTAAAAAATTATTAGTTTGGGAGAACTTAAACTAATTGTAGCTATATAGTGTCTCATCCATTAGCCTTTATTGTAGACTGCACCATAGATGGATCAATATCAGTGGATACACAAATAATATTAAGAAGAAATCAGACACAAATATAAGCAAATAACTCACCACATCCAACTCTTCCACCAGCATTTCCGTGGCATATCCCAACTTAACTTGGTGTTCCTTGTCATATAGGCTACACAACTAATGTAGAACTAAAAGTATAATATTATTGTTTCATATTGGTAACTTAGCAACCATATGACAATCAAATCTGAAGGAATTATTCATCAAATACTAAAAATGCATAATCATCTAAACACAAGACAATTCCCAAATTAGCAACTATTTGGTTAAAAAAACATGAAAATTATAGCTATATAGTGTCTCATCCATTAGTCTTTATTGTAGACTGCACCATAGATGGATCAATATCAGTAGATACACAAATAATATTAAGAAGAAATCAGACACGAATTTAAGCAAATAACTCACCACAGCCAACTCTTCCACCAGCATTTCCGTGGCATATCCAACTTAACTTGGTGTTCCTTGTCATATAGGCTACACAACTAATGTAGAACTAAAAGTATAATATTATTGTTTCATATTGGTAACTTAGCAACCATATGACAATCAAATCTGAAGGAATTATTCGTCAAATACTAAAAATGCATAATCATCTAAACACATGAAAATTCCCAAATTAGCAACCATTTGGTTAAAAAAAACAGTGATAAGCACATAAATACCAAAATTAAAAAATTAAAAATGAGATACAAGGGGAAAGGGAACATTAAGGCGTACATCATGGCGATGTCTAACTACGTTTAGTTTAAAACGGTCATAAAATGCGTCTAGGCCTCCATCTGAGAACTCTCATGTGGTGCACGCCCTCTCAACTTTTCATCATGTGTTCCTCCGGCGTCTTAATCGTTATTTTTTCCACCGTGATCTATTTTATTGCGTTCTCCTCCCCTTTCTTCTTATCTCTTGTTTCTTTTCTCAATGAAATATCGCCTTCTACTCCTCCTTCTCACCCATTATTTTTTTCACCACCGCTTTTTTATTGCATTATCCTTCTCTTTCTTTTAATTATTTCTCAATCGTTATCTTTTTCACCGTCACGATCACTCTTCCTTTATTTTATTTTATTTTTTCTCTTCCTTCAGTTATCTCTCTTTCTTCTTCTTCTTCTCCTATTGTTGCTGCATCATTTAAAGCCTATCATTTTTAGCTTAAAAGGAACAATCTTTAAAGTCACGCCGAAATTAACACGTAACGGTTAAAGTTAACACTTAACAGTTAAACTTAATACTTTATAGTCAAAGTTAACACCTAATAGTTAAAATTAACATCTAACAGTTAAACCTAACAGTGAATATTTAAAATTTAACATGTGATATCTTAAAAAAAAAATTAAAGCTTTTTCGCCCTCATCACCTCTCCTCCGCCATTTTCCCCCTTCCTTCGTCAAGCATCTTTACCCCCTTCTTCCACATGAAATATATCATACCCCTCAAATACTATCTCCCTTGGCTAAAATGACATATTTTGAGTGTTTAATTTCAAAATTTGTGCTTCGTCAAGCATCTTTACCCCCTTCTTCCACATGAAATATATCATACCACTCAAATAAAAGCAAATAAAGCCTCCAAAAGTGACAGCACTATGTAGACATGAGAGAAAAAGAAAAACAGTTGAGATCATATATAGAGTTTCTAGTATTCTACAGAAAAATAGAAATGTGTTATAATGTTCAGATTTCAGTCCAGGGAAAAACAATCATTTTCTAGTTCAGCCATGACTATACTGATCAACAATACAACATATCATTCAACATATGGAACTTAGTTTGACATTTACCTCTCCCTGTTTTAAAGAGATCCAAAATTTGATGTATTTCAACAAATTTCTTTTAGGCCTTTATCTATTATTAACTCCTTGAGAAGGGCCTTCTGCTGGTGATTTAAAGGACAATTTTATCTGCAGTTCACCTCTGAGCTTTTTATGAAGCACCCATGTTCACAAGGTCATATAAGGTCTCAAAAACCCAAAATTGGACTTATTCAGAACATAAAGGAGATGACGATTTTCAAAAAGCACATGTTTATGACATTCTCTTCGCAAAATTGTTTGAAGAAACAAAACTGACATAATAAGCTGTAATCTAAGAAAAAATGTGTAACCATGAAAGACAAGAATCTAGTTAACCAATTTACAAATTCAGGTACTATGCCCTATGAAATGAAGATAGTATATGTGTTTATATATAATCCAACTGATACCTTTAGGTTCCTCCGTTGGAGAAAGAAGGGAAAAGGATTCAAATAGACAAGACATTCTCTCAATTGCTGCCTCCGATATGGATCTTTTGAGAAGCTGTAGAAAGTAAATACATAAAAATGAGAAATTTGGCCTCTTAAAACCATTATAAGAACACATCTAGAGCAGGAATATGCATCAACATTATTCACAACCAACTCCATGTAATTCATCATTCAACTACATCAGGTGTGTAATCCGCGACATCAACATGAATGAACCCAAGGTAATGTTTCAAACGAAATATGCGTATAACTTCAAAAAATTATCATGCTCCTTCAGGAAAAAGGAGGAAATAAAGATTGAAAAATAGATAAACTGCTAAAATGAAAATATAGATAAACTGCTAAAATGTGCATCCATCAAAAAGAAAGACAGACAGATATTAACTCTGCAGGATGCACAAAATTCGAGAGATAGAATAAGAAATATGTGATGATAAGGAAAGAATTTCTTACTGAATCTTTATTGCCATGACCATATTTGCTCTGCATCTGTAACAATTGCCAATTACTGGTATTAAAATCATACACATTTAAACACCATACAAAAGAAGGATTTAAAATAATAAAATTTCATCTACTGACCTTGAGAGAGAAGTCAGTTATATCTGGCAACAATAGTTTGGCCTCAAAGTGATGCGCTAGTGCCTTTGCAAGCATCTGTTGATATAGTTCTTCAAATACGTATCTCTACAATCAGTATGGAGCATAAAATATACATATAGCTAAAATGCTTAAATAGCACACTACATATTTCAAACTTGGGTGATTACCTGCAGGGCCTGAGAGTAGAATGGCTCGACTTGCAGGAGATAGCTTCCGAGTATACTTAGTAATTTCTGCTTGCTTTAAATGAACAAAGGCTGCACTTGTCAAGACAGCATGGGTTTGATCACTGCCGCAAAAGATAGGAACAATTAGAATAAACAAACAACATTGGTTACTGGAATAGGGGCATTTCAAACTTTGAAAGCAAAACTCGAAGATGTAGCTACAATGAAATACCACAATGAAATAACCCTTTTCCAACCACACGAAGAAAATGAATTGAGATATAAACACATTTGTGTAGTTTTTTTTCCTCAATTGAGATCAAGAAAACATATCAACACTAACTAACATCCTGTCTGTGTTGTCTTCACTTTCCCCTGTTCTTTTCTATCTTTTATAGCCACTTTGCACATGTTAAAGAATGAAATTTTTACTCAACCATATGAGACTGTGATAATATGAAAAAACATGTCGGCCAGTCATCATCGCATTAAACACCTAGGTGAGTAAATGCTAACAAAGCCGCTTGTTTAGACTCGGCCTAAGTTACCCTTTTGCCCCTTTGGATCTGCTATAAAAGGGAATTGATGTCTGCTGCTTAGGGTAAGCAAAGTCTGCCTAAAAAACTATTTCACATTTAGTCATCTTCTCCACTCAGGCTTGGTACTAACTTGACCGTCGAATGAACCACCGGAGATTCCAACTCCGACCTCTTACTATTCTAAATTTTAAAAAATGTACATATAATATTATTGAAAAAATCATGTCGCATGAGGATCACCAGAAACATGGCTAAACATATTAAATTAAAAGCATATTGGACAATCTACAAAGAAAATCCTAGCAACTGAACATGGCTAAACATATTAAATTAAAAGCATATTGGACAATCTACAAAGAAAATCCTAGCAACTGATACGGGGGGAAATATAGAAAAAGAAGGCTTTTGTAGCAGGCATTAATCTGTGTAATTAAATACAACCAAAAATAAATACTAACCCATGGTAAATAGGCAGCGGAGAGTACAAGAAATCTGCAGTCCATCCCCTGAATGAGTTCTCCTCAAGAAGCTTGCAGTATCGAGCAAGGAAAAACATGTGGAATAAGAAGTCCAGGTCTGTCAACAACAACAAACGCAAATGAATAAACCAAGATCAAGTAGATAAATTCAAGAATATATTGAGGGTTCAAAATAAAGCAAATACATAAAGTAGGCAAAAGAGAACACGAATCTAACGACAGAAATTAGAAATTTATGCCAGAAAGGGCATGAGTTGTCGCCGGAGTTTGATCCTCAGGCGTTGATGAAAAAGCATTTAAAAATCAAAACTAAAATTTAGAAAATGAGCAAATCATACCTTCGTCAATGAGCCTCATTCGTGATTTAGAAAATGAGCAAATCATACCTTCGTCAATGAGCCTCATTCGTGATCGTAACAGATGCCCAATATCTGAGAAGTGAGGAGATGATGGCAGAGGAGGTGCGGTGATGATGAGGGCTTAGGGCATCGGGTACTCATCGTTGGCAATTAATGGTTTAAGAGAGTGGGAGGGCGTTGCCGGAGGTGAAGGGTAACCGTCGGAGAATGAAAGAAACGAAGGCTTTAGGGCTCCCAATTTCTTAACCCTGTTTAATGATAAAAAGGGATAAAACTGTTATATTTATAATAGCTGAAGGGTATTTTGGGCTATGGAAAGTTTTTCATGAACTCCCTCTTTTAAAGGGTAGATAGATAAGTGCAGGCTTTAAATATTCATGCAGTGAGGATGTTCATTTATAGCCGGTATACATTGTATTTGACTTTGAATATAAATCTTAACTAACCAAACTAAAGTGATCCTTATCACCTACAAATCAACTCTAGTTACAACAACTTGAAATTTGAAGCGCAAGTTCGTAGAGCTGCAATAGCTTGTGATTTGAATAACAAATTATCGGGCTTTGTTATTTGTTGCAACTACTTGAGATTCACGTGGATCTGGTCTGATAAATATAAAAAGTTGAGCTAGAGTTGAATCTAAAGACTAGACCCAATATTGATCTCAATGGTTATTCAAGTTCTTTAGTAGTTCAAGCTAATCCTTTTAATTAATTTCTACTATTACCTCTGATTCGAGCCGCTAATTCTAGAATAACTTACTTAATATCTAATGTTTTAAAGGACTTATTTAAAACATGAAAGACTTGATGGACTAATATTGTAACATCCTATTTAAATTTAAATTAAATTTAATTGTACAACCAATATAATTAAGTTGAGGGCTGATGTATTGATATATGTATGGAAAAGGAGTTGTGGACTTGTGAGTGAGAATGACTAATATGTGATTAACCTAAGAACCCGACTAAGTGGCACAACTAACATATTAGTTAATGTGATTTTTGTCTTTCCCCAGTTAGCACAAAATCCTTCTCTTTCTTCTTCTTAAAGTATCTACTATTTGAAGTCAAATAGAAACATCTCCAATGAGCTCATTTCTTGGGTTTTGCTGCTTTTGCAGGTTTGCCTTTCTTTGCCTATAAACACGAAGTTCTAACACCAAGTATTCTCAAATCCACTCATCTAAGTCACTATTGACCGGAAATACTCCACATTATTCTTAAATTTACTTTAAGTAAGTTGTTGTAATCTTACTCTATATTGTTCCATGTGTTTAGATAGATGGTGTATATTAAACCAAATGTTTAGAAATAATTACTTTTTAACTTTTTCACACAAATACTTAGGTGTAAGCATAATTTGTTGCAAACTAATTAAACCGATCGAACCGACTGATATTTGGTTTTTCGGTTTTTGTTTAGAAAAACTCCGGTTCGGTTCAGTTATAGAATATTTCAAACCAAAATTACCAAACCGACCATTCTCAAAGTAATTGTCTAAAACTCACACGCTTGTCTAGACTAGATTTTATGCACATGCAATGCACGTGGTTAATACTGTGATTAGGTATTTTTGGTTTTTTTTTTTACTAAAATTTGTTCATCGGTTACTCTTTGATAATTTTTGCTCACTTTGATTAAGTATTTTTGGTTTATTTTCTTACTAAAATTTGGTTACTCTTTGATAATTTTTGCTCACTTTGATTAAGTATTTTTGGTTTATTTTCTTACTAAAATTTGTTACTCGATTACACTTTGATTATTTATTTATAGATTAAGTATTTTTGGTTTATTTTCTTACTAAAATTTGTTACTCGATTACACTTTGATTATTTATTTATATGATATTTGTTTGAATAGGCTACACCTAGTTTAAGTTTTTATGTTGATAGTTGAATTGTCAAGAGATAAATATAATCTAAAGCTAATTTAAATTTTTATTTTATTTGGATCGGCATGAACCGAGCTTGACCTTAGGAAGTATAGTATTATGAAAGTGAAAACACTTGAAAAAATAACATTATAAAAGGAAGATGAATAATAAAGCCAATGAGCCAAGATGATTGATTTAAAGTGGGTTAAAATGACAGAAAATAAAAATAGTTTATGAAAATCTCTTCTAAAGATTCCTAATTTTACTAAAAAAATAAAACTATTCTATAACAATTCACAAAACATTATCTTTTGTTGCTTCTATTTTATTTTTTATTGAGTCGAGATCAATCCTTCTTCATCTTTATCTTTTTCCTGTGTAATTCTAGAGTAGTGTCTTCATCGTCTACATCGAATGTTATATGAGACTGGAGCATGTTATCTTCCCTTGGGCTCATTCATCTTTTGTCTTCTCGTCTAAATTCACAAAGAAGTTGACTATATTTCTTATATTCAACACAAACTTCTGACAATACGAACTTTGATTTTTTCTTATTTCTTTTTTTTTGGTCAATGAAAATTTTTTATTCATTCAAACCAAATTTGAAAGTTATATACATCCTGATTCTCACAAAATGAGAAAACAAACTAGAACAGTTACTGAGAACTAGAAACTAATATCCCTCAAAGATAACAAAAACTACAGTGAGATAATCCATTCTCTATCTTCAGGTTTTGTAGAACCATTGAGAGCTATGATCAAAATGTCCACCTTGATCTCTTTTACCAGCTGCTTAATCCCCTTGGATTTCAGTAAGAATATTCTGTTATTCCTCTCACCCCATATTTTGTACAAAGTTGCCGAGAAAGCCATTCTTTTGATTCCCTTCTTAAATCCCTTGCCTCTTAGACAGTTGTTATACCAGTTCAAAAGATAGTTCCAACTACATGATCTCCATCTGAAATTTAGCCAATTCATAATCCTATTCCAGATATTCTGAGAAAACTCACAGTCAAAAAATAAGTGTTCTCTATTCTCAGGACCTGCACCAAAACGCAAACAGCAACTGTTTGATTGTATGACACCCATCTTCATTAACCTATCTTGTGTCAGTAGTCTATTCTGAACAGCAAGCCAGCAAATGATCGAGTGCTTGGGGTAGTTCATCCTCTCCCATACTATATTATACCATGGAACTGGAGGAGTGCGCGGCACAAAAGCCTGATATATAGCAGAAATTTTAACCTTTGAATTTTTGTAACAAGAATCCATAATTTGATTCAAATTATCAATTCCACCAGTTAAGACCAATGCTCTATCTCTGGATTTTAACAATTGTCTCCAGAGCCATGAATCCCCAGGTTTAGAGTTAACATGCCATATATCTCTGTTCTTCAAGTATTTGCCATGAATCCACTTTATCCAGAGAAATTCCTTATTCATATGAATATCCCAAATGATTTTTAAAGCTGAGGCAAAGTTCCATAATCGAGCAGAGAAAATGCCTAAGCCACCAGATTTTTTTCCACGGCAAATTTTTTCCCAAGCTACTAAAGAAGGCTTATGAATATGACCTTCTCTACCCCATAGGAAATTTCTGCACATATCATCTATTTTCTGTAGCACACCAACAGGTAGGATATAGCAAGATGTCCAATATATCTGAACTCCTAAGATTACACTTTTAATGACCTGTATTTTCCCTGCATAAGAGAGGTTTTTTGCCTTGGTCCATGTTTGAAATTGGTTACTGATTTTACTGAGCAGAGGATTGCAATCTAGGTATGAGAGTCTTTTGCAAACAAGTGGCAACCCCAAATATCTGATTGGCAAAGTACCCACAGTAAATCCCAAGTATCCATTTATAGAATCTTTAGTATCATCATTTACTCCACCAAAGAAAACCTGGCATTTATCTGGATTTGCACAGAGGCCAGTAGCAGAACTGAACTCCTGTAAGCATTGTTGAAGTTTTTGTACTGAAATCAGATCACCCTTGCTAAACAATAACAAATCATCAGCAAATATAACATGAGTTATCTTGAGCTTTCTACATAATGGATGGAAATTAAATTGCCTGTCATATTTCAGTAAATCCAAACTTCTTGAGAGGTATTCCATACCCAGAATAAACAGATATGGAGATAGGGGATCCCCCTGTCTAAGACCTCTCTTTCCTCTAAAATACCCATGAAGAGAGCCATTGAGTGAAATAGAATAAGATGGTGAAGAAATACAGGTCATAATCCAGTCCACCATTTTATTTGGGAATCCAAGACCCTGCAGCATATCCCTCAAAAAACTCCAGCTGATAGTATCAAGTGCTTTTTTGATATCAATGCTAAGCATAACTCTTGGGGAGATGGATTTTCTGCTGTAATTTTTAATCTGCTCATGAGCAAGAAGAATATTGTTGGAAATTTGCCTGCCCTCAACAAATGCACTCTGAGCATTATTGACAATAGAACCCATAACTGTTCTAATCCTATTAGCTAGGATTTTTGATATGAAATTGTATAGAACATTACAACAAGAAATGGGTCTGAAATTTGAAGGAGAATTAGGACATTTAATTTTTGGAATAAGTGAGATTGCAGTTGAGTTCACTTTACCCAGCAGTTTTCCTGTTTTGAAAAACTCCTCAACAGCTGTTAAGAGGAGTAGTATCCACAGCAGTCCCCATCAGACTTTTGAAATGAGTGATAAACTCATTTGCAATATCATCTCCTTCAGTAAGTCTTTGTCCCAAATTATTATATAGAAGCATGATTCTATTGTGATGCCTGTTAGCTTTAATCATTGAATGAAAAAATTCTGTACATCTATCACCTTGAACACTCCAAGCAATTCTTGCCTTTTGTTTGAAAAAAGATAACTCACAATCCTTCAAGGTGTTGAATTTTGAAATGCATTTCTTTTCCTGTTCAATTAGATCAGAAGACATAGGATCAACCTATAAGTCTTTTTGAACATCTTCCAGAGCTTGATGTGCTTGATAAACCTGTTCACTAATATTATAGAAGAATTTCCTATTAATATCCTTCAAAGCAATTTTTAGATTTTTCAATTTTGAGCGTACTGAGAACATAGCACACCCTTTGATCCTTTGTTGCCAGGCATTAGATACTGTAGGGAGAAAACAATCATGCTTTGCCCACATCCTGAAAAATTTGAAAGGTTTCTTGCCTTGATAACTTTCTTCACTAACAGTAATAAGTCCAGGAGAATGATCTGAAATTTTTGGCACAAGAAACTCCACTTGACTAGAATTATAAGATTGAATCCAGTTATCATTAATCAGCACTCTATCCAATTTGCTCCAGATCCTAGAACCATGGTCCTGCTTATTGTTCCAGGTAAAAAAACACCCAGTGGTTTTCAACTGAGCAAGTTGACAGTCATTTATAAAAGCTCTGAAATCCTCTGTGTCAGAATCATTGAGCATGCAGCCTCCAATTTTATCTTCATTTCTAGTAGTAGCATTAAAGTCCCCACATAACAACCAAGGTGTATTTCCAATAGTTTGGTGTATAGACTTTAAATCAGACCATAATACTTTCCTTGTATGCAGATGATTAAAACCATAGATAGAGGATATAACACAATCAAGTTTACCATCAAAATATTTCACTGTGCAGGTGATACATTGATCAGTACAACTAATCAAATGTATATCCAACACATTAGGATTCCATAGGATCAAGATTCTGGCTTTACCTAGACTTCTTACATTAGACATCCAATTCCAATTTTTAGCAATTTTCCTTGTACTTTCTGGCAACAAGGTATCTTTGATCTTAGTTTTCAATAAAGCAATAAAAGATATGTGATACTGCCACAAATGATGCTTAACCATTTGTTGTTTTGAGGGTCTATTTAGACCCCTCACATTCCAAAAAGATAGATTCATCAAAAAAGATCACCCCCTCTATCTATTACTGAGGGATCCAATTCAAGATACTCAAGTTGAGAGAAAGAATTTGCTGGAGTATATTTTTTCCTCTGCTTATTACTTTGAACTTGAGTCCAAGCATTGCTAGTTTGAGGGACTTGAAAATTGCCTTCAGAATTAGAAAGTTGTGCACGTACTCCATGCACAAGACTATGCAACCCTGAAAACTGTGGAGTTGTGCACACTTGCTGTCCTTGAATCTCATGAGAATTAGGAGATAACTCCTTTTCCTTATCCTGCTGCTGAAATTTTCCAGACTTTTCACTAAGCTGAGAAACATGCACAGGCAAGCTTACAGCTGAAACTTTATCCTTCCCACCAGACATTTGTGATATATTAAATATAGGCACTGGATCATTTGGGGGAGCAGGAGCCACTGTTGTCTGAATCTTTGGGGGAATATCATTGACACTAGAAACATGCACATGGTTTTTTTGTGTATTCTGAGCTGCAGAAACTTTAGGAATCCATCTCTGAATTCTAGGAAATCTCTTGCAGTACAAAGTGTCATGCCCCACAATCTTGCAGTGATTACACCATCTAGGCTTTAGCTCATATAAAATCTTTTGATTATAAAGTTTGCCATCTGGACCCTTTAAGGTAATACAATCTGGAAGAGGAGAAGGCATAGTCACTTCCACAAGAACCCTTGCATAAGCTAATCTTTTCTTATTAGCTGTAAGTTTATCCGTGGTAATTGGATGACCAACAGCGCTTGCAATTTTACTTATACTTTTAGCATTCCACAAGTTAAGCTTCAAAGCTGGTAGATGAATCCAAACAGGGTAGATGCATTCATTTAGTATTTTTTTCTTATTTCAATAAGAATAAATGTTAATTTCATATATATGATTTTTTTTTTATTTTTTTTAATTTATTATTTAAATAAGGTTAGGAGCTACCTCTTTTTTCTCTGTAATGAATTATTCTGTTGTGTATCCAATAAGATTTTTTGTTGTGTTATAATGTTACCTTTGCTCTGTCTGTGTCATTTTCCATGAGGATCTGAACTAAATACATTATATTTTTTATTATCAATTTGCTTTAGATTATAATATTAATATTTAATTTTGATATATTTATTTTATAAAGAAGGGATATCACTTAACCTTAGAAATACATCATCGGCAATTCTATAACATTTATCATCTGGACACTTATTATTAACATCGCTATCCACTTTCTTGTTGCAGCCTTTGCAAACATAGAACCACTGTTCAACTCTATTATAAATGGTAGTTATCGTTGCCTTAAAGATACGATAGTGTGTCTATATATTAGTAAATTATTCTTAGGTTTAATTGTATGAATTTTATAGTAGGTTTTCTAATATCATACCTCTTTCGAATGTTATAATAGTTGTATATATTATTAATTTAAATTTCTGCTGTATTTATAAAGAGCCTTAATGGAAATACTTTTGTCATGGTAGCTTACTCTAAAAGATCGCTACAAATTAGCTTTAAAATATAATATTTTTATTTACGGTATTATATGGATGTTTGCTTGGTTTACTTACTATTATCTTATTTTTGTACTAAGTTATATTGTAAGGACCATGAATTTTCGATACTAGTTAAAATATTTTTTTGATATTTTAAAATATTTCATTATTATTTTTAAAAAGAGTATTTTTATTTTTCTTAATTTTCTAGATTTTTCTATGATTTAAAAGTCAAAGTTTTATATTTATTTAATTGATTTTAATGTTTATAAATTTATTTAGTGTAGTAAAAATTTCTGGAATTTATCCGTTATGTTATTGATACTATTACGTATCATTTTAAATAATATGTTGTATTATTATTATTATTACGTATTATTTCATATAATATGTTGTATTATTAATTATATATTATTTATATAATTAGTTGTATTATTTCTACTATTGCGTATCAACTATTGTATTAGCACAACTGATATGTTTTATTATATAGATAATTATCCTATAATTATTTGATTTTAAATATAAGTAATTATATTTTATTAATTATTCCTGTTTAATTGTACAATTTATTGTATTATTTTTTCTGTTACGTATCAGCGTTATCATATAAACCCTGTGTATATACTTTTTTAGATAATATTCCGTAATTATTTTATTTTTAAATACACCGTAATATTTTTTGTTTCAAATCCTTAACCCACTAACACATAATAATTGATAGTAAATAAATATATACCACACATATTAATATAACTAATATATATATATAAGGTATAGGTCGTAGTAGATACATCTAATATATATATATATAATATATAATTATATGTCTATATATTAATTAATATATATATAATAATATATATATATGATATATTATTATATTTAAATATATATATAATATATCTTCTTTCTCTCCGTCTCTCTCTGCTTTCTTCCGCAATAGCACCAGAAAACGCGCCGGCCCCCTGCTTTCTCCCCGCGTCTTCTCATCTCTCTCTCATGTTCTCTTCGCGGCCGTTGAACTCGTCGCCCAGACGCCACTCAGGTCGTTCCGACCATCGTCGAACTCCGACTCCCCGGCAACCCGCTCCACTCGGGGTCCGAGCACCCACCTGCTCCCACGCCTGCTCCATCTTCTCTCGCCCCTTCGAGATGCCCTCACACCACCCCGACTCATCTTTCCTTCTCCCTCTGTTCACATCACCCGCTCTTCTCCTGACCACGCGTACCTTCCGCTGCTGACAGCTCTGCCCCACCTCTGAGCAGCCCCAAACAAACGCCCTCGCCCCACTCAACACTTCGCTGCGGCCGTGGGCCCCATCTCGATCGCCTGAGCCACCCACCTCCACGAACACCCAAACCCCACACGCCTATCGCCGCCGCGTCGGCCAGAGTCTGCCCAGCCGACACCTCTTCTCCTCTCTCGTCGCGCTCTCCTTGCCTCGATCTTAGCTCCGATAGCCCTTTCCCCCTCCGCCTCCTCTTTCTCTGAGCTCAGCCCTGACAGTCCTGCATGCCTGTTGATTTGTCAACACCATCCACTCTCTCTGTCAGTAGCCCCTCACCTGAGTCGCTCCTCTGCGCGACCGCTCTTGACCTGTGCCAGATTTCGCAACCCTCGCATCCCCTTGATCTCCACCATGCCAGATCTGATCCGCACCGTCGACGTCGATTCGTTTGATGTACTCGTAGGCAAGATCCTTATCCCCAGTTGTTTACTTATTATAAATTTTAGATTTATCGTATGTTTATTAGTAGCAAGATCCCGCTTTCCTTGATTTGATATTCCATTATTTATATCTGTTATTAATTAATTGCATAGATTAAACTATGGTATATTATTACATGCGTGGGATTGTTTGAGGAATAATATTAGATAAATCATAATAATATGGTAATTAGCATTTTCAGAATAATTATGACAAATTAAAAGAATTTATTTCGACAACGGAATCATTTTTGGATAATTATATTAATTAAAAAGAATTTTTTTAAGAACAAAATTATTTAGAAAATTTATAATAATTTTAAAGGATTATTTTGGAAAAAGAATCATTTTTGATAATTATGATGATTTAAAGGAATTTATTTGCAAAAAGAATTATTTACTTTGGATTTTAAGTAATTTATGACTTTGTGTGGGTAGTTGTAGACTATGACATTTCATGTGCAAAACAATCACAGTTTTCGATTTTATTTTTTAACTGTAGTCATATTAGATATTATTTAGCTGCGTATAGTTTTTATGAGTAGTTTTGAGATTTGGATAACAAGATATTGATGAAATCGGACTGTATGCATGTTTTTACCGATTCATGATTACATTTCATATTTTGTGATTATTTTAATATATTTGATATGTTTGTTTTTATTGCTTCTGGTTGTGTTGAGAACCCTTAGTAGTTCATGACTTAGTGGCCTCGTGCGTCATGAACAGACTTAGTAAAATATGTGGGTGTGTTGACTGAATTTAGGTGGTGAACCTGAGATATTGTGGACTTTGATTGATGACTTAGAAAAACAAAAAGAGTTGGGATGAGAAAGTCTTTGTTCATATGATCGGATATAGCTGTTGATGTATCTTCCAGGCTCGCCCCATGATCCAGTGTAGCTTGGGGTTAGTTTGTTGGGTCAAAGTGAAGCCAGTGTAGTCACTTTGGTCCGTGAATTTGGCATTCACCCGAGTTTAGCTTGAGTTCGAACCAGGTTAAAATCAGATTACGTGTAGCCCTCTGACCGATCCAGTATAGCGGCGTATTAGGTGCATGTAGGGGATTTGTGAACAGTCAGTTATCCGACGATATGAGCGTTGACTCTGTGTGAGATGTGGACCAGTGAGTTTTAGGATTGTTAGGGTCAGAAATTACTGTTTTTATTATCATCGAATCTATTATAACTTTAGCCGTTATAATAAACTCAAATAAATAAAAAGTCGATCTTTTAATAAGATCTTCTTACACAATAAAAATACAAGATTATAATTCCTTCAAACAACACACAACAGATGTTTATCGTCTGTTGTTTGCGTGGGATCTTTGACTGTGTCGGGGACGTTGATATCCTTAGACCACTACAGATCAGATCCGGTTGACAGATTGAAAATCAAAGCTCCTACTTCACGAAGGAAGTATTCGCTGAAGTGGTAATCCTGACCAAGCGAGATTATGACTCTTCTCGGGATTTAAGACCAAGCTTAAATCCGGAGGAATATGGGGGAAAGGGGTTTTAGATCTCTCGAACTCTCTTTTTGTTTATGGAGAAACTTCACCAAGATCTGCTAACCCTATGAAATTCGTGGCTTCACTCTCAATTTTAATAGCACCTCGCCCTCTTGATCTCCAGATCTGTAGAAATAGGCCCCAAATCTTGTATTTATTGGCTTCGGTTAGGGGGGTTTTGGATAAGAACGATAGATTCCATCTTATTTTCAGTTAACAACTGCATAATTGTATTTAAAGATAATATTTAGGAAGTTAGGAAACTCTGGGATAGAAGAAAATCTCGTGAAAACCCGTCGAAACCGCCAAAATGCGTTTCCGGATCAGACCTACGCGCGATCCACCATTTGGTGGCTCAGCCTTAGGCCGAGCCACTAGCCCTGGCCGAGTCTGATTTAGTACGACTCGGCCGCTAGCGGGCCGCCAGCGGCTATTCTGGTTTTTTGGTATCTTGACTCGTTGTGTTGTTTATGTGTATTTTGTCGTTTCGCTAACTAGTACGCTTCTTCGATTTGCTTCATGTGTTTCGTGAATGCGTGGATCGCTTGTCGGTGTCAGATGATCCTCTTTGACTCAGATAACCCCCTTCGACTTGGATAATGGCATTCATCACTTTTTCTTTGTCTCGAGATATGTGCAGACACCTATAGACATTTTTAGACGGCTATAGATATCCCCTCCAAAGTGTTTCAACCTCATTCTTTTATAGAGGAGTCTGAAATACTTTGGATGTGATAGGTTCTACCTTCAATCAGTATCAAAGGACCTGTAGTTTGCTTCAATTCTTAACTTCTTCAGCCTTCCTTCTATTCAATGTTTTGTTGAATAGATGAAGTTCTTCTGGCGCTGCGTTTATCGTCTGACCATTGTCGAAATCTTGAACTGAAGTTGGTGCGTAAATTTCTGAATCTGGCTCTTGTCATTGAGTTGACGTTAAACTGATCATCTTCGTCGGTAATTCATATCTGGATGTGATTGAACTCCCTGGAATCGTCCTTTGCTTTATTTTGGCGAGATTGCTGATGCATTGACCGACATCGACCTTTACTGTAACCCATTGACCGGTGTTAACACAGTTTATACTCGTACGTTTGCTAGAATCTACACAGTTTAAGCTCTTAAGGCATTGGATCGTGGCGGTCCCAAATGTTAGGACTGTTGGACCAACTGTTAAAGCTAATTCATCTGCATGTATGACTCTTATTCTGAAGTTGTTGGATGTTCAAGTCACGAGACCAACTAATGGGTCTGGTGCGTCAATGACTCTCACATTTATAGGATTTTTGTCAAACCCTCAGTCATTAACGGGTTTGATGAGCCTTTACCGACTACCGTTTGAGTTGAGCTAGCATGTG